CTGAGGACTGCAAGGGCACCTGCTGGGCACACAAAGAGATGTGTGGGACAGCTTCTCACAAGCCAGGGAAACCTCTCAAAGACAAGGGCCATGTGGGTGGATAAGCAAAGCCAAGGGGTAAATGCCACTGGCGGGTGTCAGCCTCTTTAGAGTTCTGTCAGCCAGCTGGGCCTCTGAGGTTAGATGGTAAGCTCTGCTAAGGAGGAACCAGCCCAGGCTGGATGGACAGATGGATGCACTTGTGGATGGATGGATGGACAGGCAGACAGATGGATGAAGCTGATGCCACAGCACACTGCAAAAGGATCCTGGGGGGGGGGGGGGGGGAGAACCAACTATTCTGGAATCTCCCAGTTCCTGCTAGCTGATGGGTTTGGTTTCCTACAGATTAAGTAGCTTAGAGACTGGAAATTAGTTCAGAAATGATTGGCTTAGAGACTGTCCTACTGTTAAAAATCTGCTGTTTAAGAAGATAAACTGGGTTCCAGAATTAGATTTGAGGGCTGGGGAAATGGCTGGTGGATAAGGTGCTTGCTGAGACCTGAGGCTGAGCCCCAGAAGCCATGTGAAGACTCTGGGTCTGTAGCTATGCACTTGTGATCCCAGAACTTGCCAAGCAGAGAGCTGGATCTCTGGTGCTCTCTAGCTAGCAAGCCCAGCTAGTGTGCTCCAGGCAAACCATAAAACAAGGTGGCTAGCTAGCTCTTGAGGAAGAAGGACACTTGAGGTTGATATCTGTCCTCTACATGTGTGCATGTTTATGTGCATCTGTGTACACATGTACCCATGAGAAACCCTCACCCCCATACTAAAACAAAACAAAACAACCTAGATTTGAGCCTTTATTTCTCTGATAGTTTAAAGTCTCATGGGAGACTCAGGTCTTATGTAGAGAGGTTTTTTTTTTTTTTTGGTTTTTCGAGACAGGGTTTCTCTGTGTAGCTTTGCGCCTCTCCTGGAACTCACTTGGTAGCCCAGGCTGGCCTCGAACTCACAGAGATCCGCCTGGCTCTGCCTCCCGAGTGCTGGGATTAAAGGCGTGCGCCACCACCGCCCGGCAATGTAGAGAGGTTTTAGGTGATGTCTTTCCTCCTCCTCCTCCTCCTCCTCCTCCTCCTCCTCCTCCTCCTCCTCCTCCTCCTCCTCCTTTTTCGAGACAGGGTTTCTCTGTGTAGTTTTGGTGACTGTCTTGGATTTCACTCTGTAGACCAGGCTGGCCTCAAACACATAGAGATCTGTCTGGCTCTGCCTCCCGAGTGCTGGGATTAAAGGCGTGCGCCACCACCACCCGGCTAGATGATGTCTTTCTAAAGGGCAGTTTGACTGGCACTACCCACTCAAGACCTTCTGCTGAAGAGAAGAAACCCCTGCTGGGCATGACTGAGCCATCTAGGCCTTACTGTACTTGGCATATAGAGGGGGTTGGAATCATGTAGCCTTCCTGTTTCGGTGGTAGGGGTCACTTTTCTGATGCAGCCTTGGCGCAGACTTTGTAGAGAAGAGTTCTCTCACGTCAAATCCAGGGGTTTCTCGTCCGTCCTTTCCCAGCTTCCCAGCTTCTCCTTGCTGTGGCTCAGTCCTCAGTGCTCTTATCTGTCTCTGCTGTGCCGGAGCTCACCTGACTCTCTGCCTCCAGACTCTGTTGTCTGGCTTTCTTCTCACCTCCCTTTTCAAATCTACTTTCCTTCTTCAAATGAGCAATCCTTTCGAAGCAGGTAATTGTTACACTTCCTCAATTTTGGTTTGCAATAACAACAATAATAATAAGACGTAGTCTGTTTAATGTAGAGGTACTCTTGTCTCTCAGGAGTCTTTTGTAGTGTCAGATTGAAGATTGGATGCCACCGGCTTATAGGCCAACTGGTCTACCATGCTGTGCTTGTTCATTTGGCGTTTGGCAGAATCTCTGTAACAAAGATCCATATTATAGCAGGCTTCTATTTCTCCCAACTTGTTTCATCAAGTAATTCACTAAAGATTTTGGAAAGAAGAGCCAATATCTTTAAAAAAGAGGATGAGGAGAGAAAGGGAGGAATATACAAAAGCCCTTCAACTAGTCAGTTGCACTAATGGCCCTCCTATTATTGTGGCACAATTGCTTACAAATAAAAGGCCGAGGGAAAAACAAGTGCATTTGGTAGGTGTACTCTCTGTTCTCTGTCTTGTTTTTCTGCTCTGAAGTATGGTACTGTCTTGATGTGGGGATGTAACTGCTATGAATATTGATGGCATGGCAGCCAAAACTTCTTTCCTGTCTGGCCTAGTAAATAAAGCAGGGAGGATGCAAGGGAAGAGGAATAGTCAAGTCAGTGTGCTGTTTTTAGATTAGCTCATTCTCTTAGAACTAGTAGTCTTGAGAACATATTGACGATGTACATTTGGTGGTTGGGACAGCTCTGAGTACAGCAGGTGGGTATTTTCAGAGCTCGGGGCCTCTGGTTATAGTCACGGAATGCTTCTTTTTGTGCTTTCAGAGTTCATGTTCCTTCCTGGATCTCCACACACCTCCCAGTGCAGAGTCCAGCCCTGACCCTTACTGTATTGATTGTATTGTGAATGGGAGGTTGTGTGGTGTGTCTCCTCTGAGGACATCCACCTAGGATGTGGCAGGGAGAGGATAGGGAGTCTGGGTTGCAGACAGAGCAGTAGGCTGTAGGTCCACGCGTGGCCTGTGGTGGCGGTGGTACATGGGCCGCTCTCGGGCATCGTCAGGGCTGCTTAGCCCAGAGTATCTGACTGTGTGAGGGAAGTAAGGGACAGGAGTGGGAAGGATGACCAGAAGGTTGAGGGATGGGTACACAGGATGAGCCAGCTGAGAATTTAATCTGTTTGAAGGATCAGAAGTTATAAATGGGTGGGAAATGGGTATGAGTTAGGGCTTTCACATCATAAACATCAAATGAGAGTTTCTTAGACTGAGGTGATGATTTTCCAGGGATCCAGAGAGCACTGGAGGGCGTGTTTAGAAACAATACAAGCCAGGGCTGGCTAGGTAGCTCAGTGGGTGGGGATGCTTATTGCCAAACCTCATGACCTGAATTCATTTCCCTGAACCCACATGGTGGAAGGAGAGAATTGATGCCGACTTGTTTTCCATTGACCTCCACATATATGTGTACACGCGTATGTATGCACACACACACACACACACACACACACACACACACACACACACACACACTCACATGTGGGCAGGGGACGTTAAGAGCCAAGAATGGTCTAGGGTTAGACAAGGCAAAGCTGATCAATTGACTTTTACATAACAAGTGAGAGGTCAAAGGGGTAGGCACTGTCCTGATGTATAGGCTGCAGCTGGCTATTGCCCTGGTGGCCCAGAGGGAAGATGTTGGTGGACAAGCCATGAGAAACTTCTGTCCTGGGGCAGCCAGAGACAGGAGCCAGCTGTCTGGCAGCAAAGGCCTGCAGCCTAGGGGGTAGCTCAGACATGTACATTAAAATGCAGAAGAGTGTCGTAGTTACTGCAACAAATGCATGCATAAGTGTATAGATATGTAACATTTTTAGGAAGGCAGGCCTGTAGGAATCATCCTGAAATGAATATCATAAAAGATGATTTCCAAAATAAGTTCTTACGCAGAAGAATTTCTTTTAAAAGGCATAAATTAGCATTTATAAATACACGTCTGCAATAGTAGTCACGTGGAACAGCCGTGTCTGCCTTCTCCTGTGCGATCAGGGGGGAAAGAAAGGATGTAAGAGTTGTGGCTGAGGCCGCTGGCTTCCGCACAGATGGAGAAGTACTCTCCCACTAACTCTTGTGGTTTTAGAGGTTCTCTCTGTACATGCCCGAAACTCCCGTGTCCTTCACCAAACCAAAGTTTTCAAGAGTGGGACCAGAGTTGGGATGTTTTTTGAGTCCTTGGCTCCTTCTGTGGTGTCTGTCATGTGGAGGAAGAGCTCACTGTTTCCTGAGCCAAATTTGTTGTAGCCTCCTGTTCTAGGCATGATGATGAGCAAAGTCCATGATCCTAAGGAATGGGACTCCTAAGGGTCATAGGAGTGGAGGGCTCTAGAGCCCACAGAGGAAAGTTCTCCTTAGATGATTTTTTGTTTTGTTGAGTAGATTGAAGTCGGAAAATGTTGCTAGGTTACACGTGGCCCTGTCCATCTGGGTTTCTATCAAAATTGGGGATTTATAAAGGTAACATTTATAGAAGGAGGCCTCCGTGTTTAGACCTGTTGATTGAGGCATCCTTTTCTGCTTGTGAAGTCATGTGGGTTGGAGTCGCAGAGGTTCTAGCCATCAGGCAATGCTATAGAGGTATGTGGCAGTCAGATGGGAGCAGCCACGGGTGCTGAGATGGAGGCAGAGCTGTACCTGGGAGGCTGCTTGGGGGTCCATCAGTGGTGCCAGCCCAGAAGAAGAGGCATGCCAGTCACTGGGCAGTGTCCTCAGCATCTGAGTTCACTACCTTTCACCCTGTGGGTGAGGGCAGTCAGATCTAGAGTAGAATAGGTACTTGTCCAAGGTCACCTTGCCACACAGTGACAAAACTGGCTTTAACTTGAGATGTCATAAGAAAACCCGAGAAGAAATAAGGGTTAAGTCCATTACGTCTTCATTTTTTTTTTTTCCCAGAGGGTGTTCTGTTCAAAGCCATTGTTGGGATGTTTGTTTCATCCTTGTGCTTTTCTGGGCCTGTTCTGGAAATCTCGAGGGAAATGTGCTGCGTTGGGCAAATGTGTGCAAATAGAAAACATGCCTGTTATAGCCTAGGAAGACTCATTGCACACGCATCAAGGCAGGTGGCAAAATGCAATAATGCAGCCTGGAACGATAGGCTTTAACACTTAGCTGCTTATGAGAAATTCAGCATTAAAATCAAAATGCTTTCCCAGCCCAGGTGCAGGGTAGTGGTCCCAGTTCCTGTGATAAAACTGTACAGGGAAATGCTTGTGTTTTTGAGTTGTTGGTTCTAATCACTGTTTCCTTTTTTCATCCCCCCTTTCAACCTTGGTGCATTTGTCTCTCTTTACAGGAAAAAGTAGAATATGCCTTCCTGATTATTTTTACAGTGGAGACATTTCTGAAGATTATAGCATACGGATTGTTGCTGCACCCTAACGCTTATGTTAGGAATGGATGGAATTTACTGGATTTTGTTATAGTAATTGTAGGGTAAGTCCCTCTGGCTTTGGGGAAATGGAGGTGTGGGCTGGCTGGTAAAGGGTACATAGCCTTCTTGGGGAAGATGGCTGTTCTTATGCCAGAGATGGCACCAGGTCCTTTCGGGCGTGTTTTTGATGCTGACAGATCTGCTGTCAATCCCTGGGCAGAGTCAGCTGTGAAGATCTCTCATGACTGGTGCTGTGGTTGGGGAAGTCAGTAACACACTGTTGGAGGAAGTCTCAGCTGCTAATGAGAGATGATTCACCTCACAGGGCCTTGAATCTCCACAAATAGACCTGCCCTGCTGGTGGGTGGTGTCAAGTGAATACAGCTCCTAAAACCTAGCACCCTGCTAGTTAAAAACTTGGGTATCATGTAATAAAGCCTTCCTAGCAATGAGGTACTTGGCTGTTTAATATCCCTTGAGCTAAGCTATTATGCTTTTATGCTGACTTGTGGGAGAAACTCTGGCATGCCACTTTCCCACTTTAAATAACAAAACAAGCGTCTGAATACTGTCACATATCTGGCATAAAATAAAATAAACTAGAAAATGCAGAGAAGCAGGTGTTCTTTGAAAACCCTGTTGCAAGAGGAAGACGCTGGTAGATTTAGTTAAAGGAGAATGTTAGAATGAAAAATAGAGGTCTGTGTTGCTCTGTTCCTTCCACACCTGGAAAGGTTGCCAGCAGAGGAGACATGAATCAGGTCTCAGCAGCAAACACCCACCAAGGAAGATAAGCTATAGCCCTGCTCTGGGGCTGTGTACCCTAGCCGTCCTATGAGTTACTCCTAAAATTATGCTTGTTTTCATCAAGAGTGCTTTTAAAGATGTATTTGTTTTTACTTTATGAGTTTTTCACCTGTGTGTATATCTGTGTACTGGATGCATGTCTACTGCCCATGGGATCTAGAAAGGGCATCATATCCCTCAAAGTGAGGTAACAGATGGTTCTGAGTGGTTGTGTGGGTGCTGGGAATCAAACCCAGGTCCTCTGCAAGAGCAGCAAGTGCTCTTAACTGCTGAGCCATCTCTCCAGTTGTAAGAGAGCTTTTAAAGTCATCCCTCTGTTTTCAGATCAGTGGCTTTATTCAGCTGCCTTTGCAGTTGGGCAAGCTGAGTTATCTTTTAGGTTATCTGTTTGTATCATGATTCCTCTGTTTTGTTTTGTTTTTTCCCCATTGGAGATGACTTTTTCTGCCTATTTGGAGAGCAGCTTAAGTTTGGGAATGTCCTTTCACACTAGGAAGTGAAAATGGGGCCCAAAGTGGTAGCCCATTGGATGGTTTTGCAAAACCTCCCTTAGTACATTGGCATCTAAGGCTCCATTGCAGGGGTAATGTATCTAAAATGAATAGGTGGCAGATAGACGTGACGGCAGATGCCTCCTTATTTGGTACACCTGTCAGGGAGTGGTAAGCTGGAGCCTGGGAGGTCTTTTGATTCTATAAGAATCTTGTAAAGCCGAGTGGTGGTGGTGCATGCCTTTAATCCCAGCCCTCGGGAGGCAGAGGCAGGCAGATCTCTGTGAGTTCAAGGCCAGCCTGGTCTACAGAGCAAGTTCCAGGACAGGCTCCAAACCTACACAGAAAAACCCCGTCTCGAAAAAACAAAACAAACAAAAAAACAACAAAAAAAGAATCTTGTGCCTTTCCTGCCATTGGACTTTTATTCACCTAGAGAATGGAGATGCTTGGCTTCATTTCTTGTGTCCCCATGCTATGATCACCGTGGCTCTTTTTTTTTTTTTTTTTTTCCTGATGGAACATTTTCCCACAACAGCACACCATAGGAACAGGGAACCAAGTTTAGGATATAAAACTTCCGGAAACCTGAGAAACATAAAATGGGAAGGGAGACATCTAGTCAGAGAGCTCTGTGCATGTGCCTTGGAATCCTCTGAAGTTTGGACTGACACTAAGCTGCAGTCCGTGAGGCCAATCAAAGAAGGTTGTATGGAAAAGAGAAAGACAGAGGGCAGAAACTACAAATAAATAATAACCAGAATTTGCCTAAGATTGAAAGGTGTTTGTTATCCAAATACCCAGAATGAATTGCTGCATTGAACACCCTGGACTGTCAGTAGACACCCCAGAAAAGTCATTACTAGTGGAGTTAACCTAGGTCTAGAATAGAGTTTGGCAAACTATGGCCAGGGGACCAAATTCTAGTCAATCCGGCCTGCCATCTACTTTTATAAATAAAGTTTTATTGTAACATAGTCAATTCAGTCATTGAGTTGAGGAGTCCAGATATAAAGCCTTAAAATATTTACTGTCCAGTCCTTTACAGAAAAACTCTGCTATCCCTGCTCTAGAGTAAAGCTTGAAGCTTAGATAACAGTGTTTGAGAAGGAGCCTGAAGGAGAGAGAACTGATAAGCAGGTAACTTAATTACCTAAAAAAAAAAAAGATAGAAAGAAACAAGACTTTTCAAAGGAAAAATCAAGTCTAAATACTTAGATGATTATTCAAAGTACCTCACCTGCAATCAGGTAATACTCGATATATGCAGAAGTGTGGCCACTAACAGAGGAGATTCTATGACTAGAAACAGACCCAGAAATCACAGAGATGATGGCAAGGGACTTTATAAGAGTTTAAAAACAACAGCTCTGATTGTGTTTATGGTATGACTACATGAGGGAAGGACGGGACAATAAAAGAAAGAAACACATGGAACTTGAAGTTGTGAAAAGAACATAGGAAATGAAAAGGTCCCAAGATTGGCTCATCAGTGTACTAGGCAATACCAAAGACCAAAAAAAAAAAAAAAAAAAAAAATCAGGAAACTTAAAGATGTAGCACTAACAATAATAATTAAGGAAAAATGAACACCTCACTCACTTGTGAATTATCAAATGTTTTAATGTGTACATTTGGAGTCTCAGGAGAAGGGAAAGGCTGAAAAGATGGCAGTTAAGTCTAAACAGTTAAGACTACTGGCTGCTCTTGCAGAGGACCTGAGTTTGGTTCCCAGAACCCCCATGCCAGCTCTGTAGTCCCAGATCCAGGGGCTCCCATGCCCCCTTCCGGTGTATGTGGATAGCTGTATGCATATGGTGCATATAAAACACATACAGGTACATACACATACACATCATAAATACGTCAGTAAACAGTTTTTAGGAGGAAGAGAGAAGAAGGGGCTGGAATACAGAAAAAGAAAGTCCTTGATGTAATAGTTCTAAATGTTTCAACTATGATGGAAAATGAACTCAGAAGTTCAAGATGCTTGGCAAAACTTGATCCAAAAAACCATAGAGGAAAGTGCATCATAACCACAGTTAAGTAAAAGGTAAAGAGAATCTGAAAATGGAAGAAAAGATATCTCAAGTACAAGCCAGAAGACAAGAGATGCACCTTCAGAGTCCTAGGGGAAATGTCAGCTTAGAGTTCTTATCCAGTGAAGTTCCTTCCAAAACCCAAGTCAAAATTGAAACTTTTTAGACAAACCAAAGCTGAGACTTCATGACTGATAGACTTGAACATCCAAAAATGTTAAAAGACAGCTTTTCAGGCTGAAAAAAAAAAAAAAGACATCAGGTAGAAATGAAGATACACACACACACACACATATACACACACACATACACACACACACACACACACACACACACACACACACACACACACACACACACACATACACAATGAGGAATTCCAGACAGGGTGAATTTAAAGATATTTATCCTCATTTTAAAAGTCTCTTAAAAGGTAATTGTCTAAAACAAAACAACAACAACATATTGTGTCATTTGTACCTTTGGTAGCAGTAAAATTCTGACATTAGCACAGGGGATGAGAGAGAGGGTCATTGTGGGCTGTGGTTGAGTGTGTATACACTTACAATGACAGAATCGTCACTAGAATGGTAAGATGCTATTTGAAGATAGATCGTGAGCAGGTGAAAGTGTAGATTGTAAACCCTGGTACCTAGATTGGCAAACTACCAACCCTCCACCCCAGGGCCTAGAGACATCTCTACTTTAAGCCTGCTTCTCCACATTAGTTAGGCATCTTGCCACCTACTTTGGCAAATAAGGTTTTATTGTGACCCATCTATACTCTATGTGTGGCTGTTTGGTCTACTTGATGTTTAATGGCAAAGTTGATTCAGTGCCCCGGAGATCCTGTAGTCTGCAAGTCCTTACTCATCTCCCTTCACAGAAAGCTTCTGTTGACACTTTCCCTACACGAGCCACACAGAGCTTCAATTATTAATATTAAGGCAAAAGTGAAGACTAAATGCAGTAGAAAGAAACACAAGAGCAAGAAAGTCAATTCAGAAAAAAGTAGAGACGAAAAGACAAAAGGAAAACAGACAACAAGATGGAAGGTTTAACACAGCAGAGCCCCAATTAACACCATGAGTCTATCAGATTGCCGTATATAAAAACAAGACTCAACTTTCTAATGTCTGTCTTTGTCTTTCTTTAATGAAAAGACAAATGATTTGTGAATAAAGGGAGAGAAAAGGCAGCTAGAGGGCCTATATCAATATCCAACAAAGTAGACTTTAGAAAAAGGGGTGATTGGGCACACGCAGAGAGACATTTCATAATGATAAAAGGAATTTATCAAGATGATCTAAGAACGCTCTTTGCTCAAATGTCTGGTAACAGAGTGTCAAAATGCCCGAAGCAAAAGCTGTTAGAGCTGTAAAAGGAGCAGAAAGATGAGCGGGTCTGGCTGTGCACCCCAGTTCTCTGTCCTGGAGTGTGGCGAAGACACAGTAGTGGACAGGGAGAAGGGGTGCACATTACTACTAACCACCTTGACTTTTTCAAAGAACTCCGTCAGTGAAGCAGAATACATATTCTTTTCACATGCTTAGGACATCTTTACCAAGAGAGTAATATTCTGGGCCACAAAATAAATCTCAGTGAATTTAAGACTAAAAAAATCATAGAGAATCAAGTTTTCTGAATGAATATAACAGTGTTTCTGGATAGAAAGTCACTATAAAAAAGTATAGGAACGTCTAAATACTAGCTATAGGCAATTAGAATGCGAAAGTATTAAATGTTACTATTTACAATGGCACGAAAACGATGAAGTATTTAGGTATGGATAGCTCACTAAAATGGCAACGTCTTCATGGGAGGAACCAAAGAAAAGCCAAAGAAGCAGAGAGCGGTACCACACTCGCATGTTGGAAGATTTGATAATGTTAGCATTTCCACTTCCTCCCAAATCAAGGTGTAGATTGAATCCTAACTTCAATACTAGCAGGCTTTTGGAAAATTGACAAGATTTTTGTAGCATCTGTATGGAAATTAGACAGACTCTAAACTGGCCAAAGAAATCTTTAAGAACAAAGCTGGAGCCTGATCTTATAGCGTGCTGCCACGTTATTGGAGTCAAGGTAGTGCAATATTGATGTTAGGAGTTGGCATGAAGATCAATGGAATCAAAGAGGGGCATCTAGAAATAGACACATGTGTATGCCATCAATTGATTTGAGAAAAAGATGCCTTGATAGTTCAATGGCATAAGGAAACTGTTTCCAGTAAATAGTGCTGAAACAACTGTTTGTTGATATGAAAGACTATTCTTACCTCATACCATATGTAAATGTTGCCTTCACATGAACCATAGACACATATTTACAATTTAAAACTACACAATTTCAAGGAGAAAATACTGTAGAGCACTTTTATGATTCCCACGCAGGCAAAGATTTCTAAGGCACAGGTGCTGGGGGTGAACTCCTTAAATCCCTGCATAGGTGGAGGAGGCTCCAGAATTCAATCAAGGGCTTCCTCAGCTATGTAGTGAGTTCAAGGCCAGCCTGGGACACATGAGATCCTGTCTCAAAAGACAAAGAGGCCAAAAGCAGCACCCATTAAAGAGACAGTGAAAAGATTCAGCTTTACCAAAATTTAAAACTTTTCTTCAAAAGTCAGAGTGAAGAAAATGTTAAAAAAAGAAGAAGCAGTTCATGGAGGACAACAAAAGTATATAATGTATATTCATAGAGGGAAAAAATATACACTAAGGACTTGGTCAGATATGTCCATTCAGCATGTATAAAGGACTGTTCAAGAAGATAGCACACTACATAATGGGCAAAGTATCTGAATGGATCTTCATTAAAAAAAAAAGTGTGGCTGGCCAGCTAGCCCCTGAACATTGTTAGTAAGTAAAGAAATGCTGATTAAAACCACAGTAACAGCACTGTGTGCCTACTGGGACCACTGGGTGTAAAGAGACCAAATGGCAGCCAGCACGTGGGCTAATTGAAACCCTCGTATACCACTTCTAAAGATGGAAGCAGTAAAACCACTTAGAAAGACACCTCCCCTTCTTCCAGCATTATAAGCATTTACCAAGTGACCATATTACTAGTTTTCTGGTATTTATCCAAAGCAATGAAAACACATGTCCACAGAATGACTTTATTTAAAATAGAGGAAAACTGAAAATAGCTTTATACCACAGAACAGGTAAATTGATAAAAATATCATGACGTGTTTACTTAATTGAGTATTTTATTTAACAGTAAGATAAACTTACAAATGTAACAGCTTGGGTGAATCTCAAAAAATATGATAAGCAAAAGGCATACCATGGGATTCCTTTCTATAGTGTCTAGAAAGGGAAAGGCCTCTGTAGTGAGTAGTCCGTCAGTGGTAGCCGTGGGCGGCTGCAGAGGGGCCCGAGAGAGGAGCTGGAGACGCTGGAATCCTCTGTCTTGACCCTGGGTGTTTGTGGCATTTTCTGTGTTTGTCATAACTCCATAAACTTTAAACAGGTGCATTTCTCATATGTAAAATAAACTGTGGTGAAGTTGATTATAAAGATAAAAGTAACTTAAGGTAGAGCTAGAGCCAATGGTATTTTGTAGTATAAAAAAACCTCACAGATTATTTATCTAAAATATTAACCCAGTCCCTACCACCACGAAAAAAAAAAACCCAGGAAGTAAAATTCTTACTAAATTGTGGTTGGTCATGGACAAGAGCGGAAGAAAAATTATAGAAAAGAAAAAGAACATTTACGATGTCTTTGAATCACATTCCCACTCACTACAGTTTCCAACTACAGTCTGTTTCTCTTGTCCATAGCGACATGTTACTTTTGGCAATATTCCCACTGAAAAAGACATTAAGAAATTAGCATGTAGCTGTTAATAATGTGAGCGCACAAGGACCAAGGGGCCTGTGGTAGCTGAAGTTACTTCCTTTAAAGAAAGCGTGGTCTGGATCAGCTCTCGCCCCACTCTCTGGGTTCTTAGTCAAGAGATATTTTCGGCATTCAAGCTTGTCACTTAAACTTTTGTGAGGGAGAACATGGTGTCCCCATTCTGGTGCACTGGGTCTTGGTCAGTTTGGGCATGTCCTTTTCTCCTCATGGAGAAAACTTTTAATAATAACCTAGGACCCCATATCGCTGCTTCCTTCCCCTGTGCGTATCTGTTCAGGTGCTGAGGTACATGATGCGTTATTATTATTACTTTTACTACTACTATTATTATTATTGGTGGGAGCGGGAGAGGAATAGACCGTAGAACCTGAGATCAGAGAGGGCAGAGCTCTGAGATTAAGTTTTCTCATTTTACTGAGGGGGAAACTGAGTCCCAGAGAAGAGAGGCTTCACAACCCACACCAAATACAAGCAGCAGCAAGCGTCTCTCTGACTCAGGCTCTTGTGTGGTAGCAGAGACATTCTTCACCTGTTTTCAAGGACACTGTCGAAGAATGGGGGATGAGATGACATTGCAAAATCCCCATGCTTGGGAGCAGTCTTCAGTCACCCCGTGCTCGTGAACAGTGTCTTCAGTCACCCCAGGCTTGTGAATAGTGTCTTCAGTCACCCCGTGCTTGTGAACAGTGTCTTCAGTCACCATCTGTAGAAGTTGCTTCCCTAACCCTTTGGGTTGAACATTCCTGTGGCTTCCACATTTGCAGTTTGAAGTTTGCCTTTCTTCCTTTCACTTGGTTTCTCCGAAGCTGTAAACTTGCTTTTGGGAGGAGAGATTTTTTTTTTTTTAACATTAGCTTTGCTGAGGGACTTTACAGTCATTTTTAAAAGCCAACATAATAGGAAAGCTGTCCTAACCTTGATCAGTTTCCTCAGTCAGAACTCAAGCTAGCTCCCCATCAGAAGCTTTGAGAAGGTAGAGACCTGGCTGTTCCCCCTCCTGGGCCCTTGCTAATTGCTGTCCCGTTATTAAAACAAATGCCCTTGAGTCACAGCGCTGTGCCCAATCAGGCCAGCAATCAGACCACCCTGTGTTTTATGGACCTAGTGTCTTGGTGACCCAGAGGCCTGTCAGGGAGGGGGCAGAATTTCTGCTTTGGCTGCTAATTAAACTTTAGAAACCTTTTCTTTGTTGCGGGGCCAATCATTCCCACAATCTGATTGGCCAGAGTTAATGCTGTTTGCAATGGGCAAATTTATTATTTACTCAGAAAAAAAAAAAAAGAGCAACCATTCCAAAGAATAAATATTTATTTAAAAAAGCAAAAATAACTGTCAACTGAGAAGATTGTCCAAAAATAGCGTTATCCGAAAAACCTAAGAGTAGGAAAAAAATACTTACCCTTGCTGCCAGATACAACATCACTCCCATTTCAGAAGGGAAACTGGGATATTAATGCCTTCCCTTAGATAACTCTTTGCACGCCACAGCTCCCTGGCATCTATCCGTGATTCACTGTGTTTTGACAAATACCTCAATGAGGCCGCAGGTGGCGGGTGTAACACGTTAAGACGTGGGACTTCGAAGTCGTCCGTCTGTCTGGCTGTCCAGACATTTCTTGAGCACTTCGGATGTGCCAGGAGCTGTTTTAGGAACGGAGCTAAAACAGACGAAATGGACAGATGAAAACTCACCGCCCTCATGGAGCCTACATCTTGGCCTCGTCAACAACGCACCTGGAGTCAAACCTTAGCTCTGCCCCTGGTGGCCCTCCCTTGGGCAGAGGAGCCTTTCCTGCCAGCTTGGTTTCCACACGTGTGTCACGGGGTCTCGGCGATGCCGTGGGAGTGGGCTTTTGTGAGGGTGGGCGGAGTGGCGGGTGGGAAGTACAGTTTGGGCTCAGAAGCGCGGCCACCGAGACCATTGTCATCAAGGCGGTGCCCCTTGTTCTCTTGGGAGCCTCAGTGAACCCCTGCTTCTGGTTGCTTTGTTGGCATGAACACAGGTCTGAGTAGCCCCTGTCAGAGGTCCTGCAGGCAGCAGGGCAGGCTGGGCTTCCGTGGCCAGGCTCTCGGCCTTTAGCTTCCTTGTATTTAGTTCGACGCCGACGCCCAGAATTCGCGCTTGTTCAAAAATAACTGCTGTCATCACCCCGCGTGGCTTACCTGGATGACAGACTAACACGTGTTTCTCTCCTTCCTCTTCCAGGTTGTTTAGTGTAATTTTGGAACAATTAACCAAAGAAACAGAGGGCGGGAACCACTCCAGTGGCAAATCGGGAGGCTTTGACGTCAAGGCCCTCCGTGCCTTCCGAGTGCTAAGACCACTGCGACTTGTATCAGGAGTGCCCAGTAAGCACCTTTGCTTCCTACCCCCTAGAAGTACTGCTTTTCCCCTGCTGGGCGGGGCGGGTCTCAGGATCAGGAAACGGTGCTGGTGCTCCGAGGTGAGTTGCCCTGTGCCTGGTAGGGGCCCAGCTGCAGTAGGCCTTCCTTGGTGCCGGAGGACTCGCACCATCCCCGTGGCTGCCTGGGACGTTCCTGAAAGAGGAACGGATGGTGCTTATTGCCATGGCTTTTCAGAAGTCTCTTCATGAGGAGAGGCTGGGTGGCAGGAGGAGGCCCGGACTTCCCAGTTTCCCGTCCAGTTCTGCAACTCTGATGGTGCCCTGTGGCTTTCTTCCCAAGCCTGCCTCACCTAGAAGTGGTAGCAGTATTGAAGCCGCAGGGGCCCTGAGTGGGGAGCGATGGGGGAGGGGCTGGACTTCTGGAGACCCCGATGGGCCCCACCACTCGTGATGACACCCGTCCCTCTCTGAGAAGAGGAACGGACCTGCCACTTTGCACACCTGTGTGTAGAGCGCAGCACTGCCCTGTGTGATGGTGTTATGAGAGCCCCACAAGACCGTGAAGGAAGACCCTAGCAGGAGTGTGAGGGGGACTGGTGCCTTCCAGTAGACCCTACCCTGTCCATCAGTGCCTGGCCCTGCTTGCCTTCTGACTCTGGGCATGTTGAGGCTCACCTGGGTTGGGAGGGAAGCTCCTTCCTGAGGAAGCCTGCTTGGCCTTTGCCTCACAAGCTCTGCCGTTGGTAAGACTGTATTTTCTGGGGCCTTGAGAGTGTACTCATACCTGTGCTAGCACTGGTGCTTCTGAGGGGGTGGGCTACTCAGAGCTGGAGCAAGGATACAGGGCTGCTGGCTACACCCGCTTTCCACAGCTCATAAAGTCATCAGAACACTGATTCTTCTCCTCCCAGACTGTCTTCGTGAAGTTTTATTAAACTTTAGGCACTGAGAACGCACCAAACTCCTCTGGAAAAAAAAAATACTACATTTCCAAATTTAACATTTAAAATGTAGGAAGTGGTGTTTTAAGTGTACTTATTTTTCCAGATGGTTCATTTATTTTCATTGAAAAAGATCAGTGCAAGTCAAAAACCACAGAGCTGTCTGGAAGCAATTGAGAGAAATAGAAATACCTTGGCAATGGCTGGCACTGCTAAGTGTAACATGATGAAATGAGAGGCTTGGTGAGCAAATATGCTCCTTCAGACTTGGTTGTCACAGCTTAATCTAATTTCAAAGTAACCATGACAGCCTTTTTCCCCTCAAGAGCAAATGGCAGGACAGCCTGCCTCTGGCGTGTGCTGCGTGCAGACACGGAACTGTGGCTCGCGTGTGTATGAGAGGCCCCTGCCAGTGAAAACTCTCAGAACGGGCCAGGCTTGGCCTTGACTCCTAGGGCTAAGGAGGTTTCTACAGAAGGGTTAGCACTCCACAAACTCTGCAGAACGGTCTTCTGCTCTTCCTTCCTCTAAGACACAAGGCTGTTTGAGTTTGTGCTGGTCTGTGTCTTACTCTCTCACGGGTCACCAGAGAGAAATGAGGCTCTGACCTTCAGCCTGTCATTCAGCTGATTTGTCAGGCAGTATTTGCCTCAGATCCAAATGGGCTTGGGAGAGAGGAATGGGGACTTACAGGCCATGCTATTTTCAGATGTGGGCTTGGTGATTTCTTCTCCAGCACCTGAAATCATTGAAAATGCCCGGGAACGTTTGGCTATACTTAAAAAGCATTGTCTTCTCGCTCCTGAAGATTGAGGCTTTTTCACAGAATATAATTTTCGTGTGCACCCGAGTAGATAGTCCTTAAGGGAAAAACAAGTGCATTCCACAGGGGCATAGTTGAGTCATGTGGAACTATTTTTCAATTGTATTTCATTTGTTATCTGTGCGCGCGCACACACACACGCACACACACACACACACACGCACACACGCGGGCACGCACACGTCCTCATGCGTGTGTGTCATGGCACACACTGTGCAGGTTAGAGGGCAGCTTGAAGAAGTCATTTCTTCCGTTTTACCTTGACTCAGATCATCAGGCTTGGCAGCAAACTCATTTACCCGTGGAGCCTTCCCACCAGCACATCAAAAAATTATCAGAATCTAGGGCACAAGGTGTGGCGGTGCACACACTTAATCCTCGCACTCGGGAGGCAGAGGCAGGTAGATCTCCATGAGTTTGGAGCCAGCCTGGTCTACAGAGCGAGTTCCAGGACAGCCAGGGCATTATAGTGAGACCCTGTCTTAAACAAAAGAAAGAACAAAACTAGAATCCAAGACCATAAAAATGGGAAAGAGCACCGGAGACCCTCTGGCTGGTTCTCACTGTCTTTCGGAGGATCTCAGGGAGGCCAATTAGGAGGCAGTGACTTTTGAACTCTCACAGCCAATGAGAAGCCGCACAGGGCCAGACCAAGGACTCCTCGCCCAGGCATGGCAGCCTTCTCATGCCTTCCCTGTGTGCATGTTGATGACGTCCTAAGGAACTAAATGTAATGAAAGCCTATGTGCTCAGTTTGTGATACAACGCGATGTTATCTCAGGAGTTTGGCCGATCTGAAACACAGTAGTTCCGCTAAACATAAATACATTCCCGAGACAAATGGCTCGCTGCAGCAGAGTTTGAGAGTGCCTTAGAATGGCCTCATCCGTGTCTAAAAACAGAAAAATAGAAAAAAAAACGTCAGAATAGCAGCCAAGAGACTCTGCCCATGTATATGGGAGCCAATGCTCCCCGCCCCCCATTTACTGCCTGCAAGAGACAAAAGTTTTAAAAAATCATCTTGTTAGTCTTGTTTTCAAAAGAAACCATTTGAACATTTAAAGACAGGCCTCGAATTTTACCCACAAAGAAAGCTTTATGGAGACAGGGTCTTGCTGGGCTTGAAGACCCCTTGTCAGCCTCCCGTCCTGCCTGTCCCCTGCCTCTTCCCACACGTTTACCAGGGGAGACAGGCGGCTGTAGCTGCTAGGGCTTCTTTTCTTTCTCTTGCCTTATTCCGGCTGCTGCTTTGTTTTAACTCTAAGTAGCTTAGCGTCTTCTGTTCTTTCTTTCTGTCTTTGAATAAACCTTGGGAAAATAAGAAGGGGAAGAAAGAGAAAAGGAGCGAGTAACCATGTAGAAGCTGATGTTTGAGTGGTGGGGAGAGTGTAAGCTGCTAAGCACTGAGCCAGGAAGCCCCTCTGCCTTTTAAGCTGATTGCTGTCCACTTGCTCTCCCTGAGGCACCATTTGCTGGCGGACTCAGGTCTGATTCCAAACCCAGATTCAAAACCCAGCGTAGCATGGCTGTGACCTCTTTGCTGATGGCCTTTATGACTAGTTGGGATGACACCCCACCCCAGCTCACACTGTACACTGCTTACTTCCCTGTTGGGTTTTCTGCCGGAGCCTCCCTGTGGGTGTCCATCTTCAGGCCCAGACAAGAGGGAAACTACTTCAGGTCCTCTGTCCTCACCCTGCTCAGAGCCAGTGCCATATTCCTCTTTAATTTTCCATTTGCTGTTTCTCGTACAGTGTTTGTATGCTACCTGAGAGTAATTTGTGTTCAATTCTTATGTTTCCTTCTAGACTGTCACCTCTTTGAGAGAGCGGCTTTGTACAATTCATCTTTATATTACTCAAAGCGCTACCCCCCATATTTTGCATATTTGGGTGGTCCTGTTAAATGGATATAAAAAAATACATAAGTGAATAAATAATTTTATTACTGGCTACTCCTCTCTGGGCCTTAGTTTTTCATCGCTGTCTAGTGAAGGAGTTGGATTAAATGATCTTTAAGAGTCTCTTTTTATCTCATCTCATATCTAGGCTTAGTATTAATTAGCAGCTTTGAAATAGCTCCACATTTTAGTGCTGTATGTCATAAATAGAGCAAGCATCTCTCGGGATTATATTTATGATACATCTGAAGTGTCTTCCTAACTCACAAGTGGATTTTTCTTTCTCCTAGGTTTACAAGTTGTTCTGAACTCCATTATAAAAGCCATGGTCCCTCTCCTTCACATAGCCCTTTTGGTATTATTTGTAATTATCATCTATGCTATTATAGGATTGGAACTTTTTATTGGAAAAATGCACAAAACATGTTTTTTTGCTGACTCAGGTGAGTAGCGACAGCAATTATTAACCAAACATGAAAACATTTTGGTTTGGGGGAGGTGCTGGTCTCCTGAGCCTTTTCCTCCCATCTATTCTCCCTTTGTGTGTGAATTGTGTTGAGGGTCAATGGGAATTTATTCTCCTTTTCCATCCTGATTGCCTATGGAATGTATCCTAGCAGATAAGATGGGCAGCCTGCACGGGGCAAAGCAGGAAACACCATTCTGTCAGCCCAGGAAAGGGACTGCAGATGTGAGTGCAGAGTGATGGGTGGTGGGTGTCCGGAGGAAATGGAACTCCACTGGCGAGGGGCTGTTCCGAGTGGAGCTCGGGGGCACAGTTGAGATTCTGAGGTGGTAAAGGTGCTGGTGTTGGGTTAGCAAGAGTCCTGGTATTTCCCTTCTGAATGGTCCTCTGCTTCCTTCTCCGTAGATATCGTAGCTGAAGAGGACCCAGCTCCATGTGCGTTCTCAGGGAATGGACGCCAGTGTTCCGCCAATGGCACGGAGTGCAGGAGTGGCTGGGTGGGCCCCAATGGGGGCATCACTAACTTTGATAACTTTGCCTTTGCCATGCTCACTGTGTTCCAGTGCATCACCATGGAGGGCTGGACAGATGTGCTCTACTGGGTAAGCAGCTCAAGGAGCGTTCACGGCATGTTGTTCCCTTGGTGAGAGCAGTTGGCTGAGAACGGAGCTCTGGAGGTCAGTTCTTTGTGAAGGGAAGCAGACTTAGGCCCTCTCTTCACTTGGTGAGCCCCTCCCCCTGCCCTAACGGATTGCCCCAGCACTGGAAGGCTGCTGCATGGCGTTAGCTCCTGGCCTTGGAGGCCTTCACCTCCCCAGTGCTGCTGGGGGACTTATTCTTACCTGTGGTTGCTCCTGCCCACTAATCCCTTCTGGGAACTCTGGAGGCCCTGGCTGTCCTGATTAAACTGAGCGATCTAGAGCAACATTTCCTAAGGAAGAGGCGCCTAGACTCCAGTCTATACATAAAGGCAGTTATTTTACTAGATCCTAAAGGGAAGGTGGGGAACACAGCCAGGCCCCTTTCATGCATCCATAACTTTATGAGACCACAGCTCACCATTAATTTTTCTCCGTTTCCGCTTCCCTCCCGTATCCCCAGCATCACTGTCAGCCAGGCTGGAGCAAGTCCTGCCTCCACACTCTCTCTCTTACTCTCTTGAGCCAAAGCGCTCTGGCAGGAATGGTAGACGAGTCAAAGTGTAGGGCTGGTTGACCCTCAAACGGGTGACTAACCTCTTGGTGACTAGGGTTTGACTCCTCTCATTGGCAGAGCCAGGAAGGTTGACTGTAAATAAAGTACAGCAGCCATTTCCCCAGGTGACTTTGTGTACAGGCAGATTTTTTAAAGCTCACAGAAATGTAGAAATAATTTTTACCCCATAGTAGATGAGTTGCTGGGAAATACAGTAGCACGTAGATTTTGAGCCCAAATCCAAATCCTGTCAAACTAGTAGTCCAATTGTTAATTGTTTGGAGAAGTGGTTCTCAACCTGTGGGTCACAACCCCCCGGGGGGGCATCACATATCAGCTATTTATATTGTGATTCATAACAGTAGCAAGATTACAGTTAGGAAATAGCAAGGAAATGATTTTGTGGTTGGGGGGGGTCAACATGAGGAACTGTATTAAAGGGTCGCAGCATTAGGAAGGTTGAGAACCACTGCATTAGAGGATATTAACAGTATTTCTTGACTAGGCAGCTTCTTGGTTAAAAGGCTTAGAAACGGAGAAGCGGCTTCTGATAGTTTCTAAACCCTAAACTTGACAAGGTTTCCTATCACTCTCTGCCTTCAGAGAATGCACCATCTGATGCTTAGCCATGGGTTTGCTTCCCTTCACCGGTGAACACTATGCTTGTGAGACTGTAGGCGGTCCTATACAGCCGGCCCTCCGTATCTGCGGATCCTCCATCCATAGGTTCAATCCACGTCTGATTGAACCAAATGCCGATTGAAAATAATTTAGGGGAAAAAAGCATCCTCATTGACTATGTCCAGGCTTGTTTTGTAATTACTCCCTAAACAATAGTATAATGGTTATTCACATGCTGTTAGGAATTAAACAGAGTCCTGAGATGATTTAAAGAATATGGGGGCATGTGGATATAGGTCATATGCAAACCCTGTGCTGTTTTATCGAAGGGGCTTCAGCAGCTTTGGCTGTGGCTGGTCCCTGCAGATACTGAGGGTCGACTGTATATTCTGTTAAGTGGAGAATGAGCATCACCAACTTGCTGTAGCCTGTCCTTCATCCCTTTTTCTGATTGTTGTAGGTGTGTGTGTGTGTGTGTGTGTGTGTGTGTGTGTGTGTGTGACTGTGCATGTGTCTCTGTAGACACAAATGTTAATTATAGCCACAAGCAGTACCTTCTCATGGAGAGAAAGGACAGGCATTGTCAGCCACAGAGCTCCAGCGTTGGGTGAACTGTTGGCTTTCACTCCTGTCCCCTAAACTGCAGCTCCTGAGCAGAGCAAAACCTCAGTCCCAACCTTCCCCTGCAATGGCTGATAAATAGAGCACATCATCCCCAAAGCCCAAGCTCTGCCTTTTCCCTCCCCCGAACAGGAGAGAACAGTTTTTTTCATTTTTTAAAAGAAGTAAAAGTCTGTGACTGTCTCAGCCTTGTCTTCTTTCTATTGTCCTGGTGAGTTGCCAGATGACGATCCAACATGCCTTGACTAATGGACAATTTTCTAGTTTATCTTATATTTCTGCACATCAATTCTCTCACAGCAATTGTCCTGTTACCATGCAGAGAAAATTTCAGGAGTGTGTGACCGAAGAGGAGAAAACATCATGCACCCAGAAACACCAGTTTCCATTTATTATTTTTTTTAGAACTTTTAAGTATCACCTGTGATGATGAAATGATCTTTATTGTTGCTATGACAATAACATAATTAATAATTGGACAATTTAATTACAGCCTCTGAATTACATAACACCTTTATTATGATGGGGAGCACATGTAATTCCTCAATGTTACTCTAGTCTCTATCACTTCATAGCAGATCTGAAATCTTGAAGATGGAGACAGTGCCGTATAAAGAAACCCGTGAGCATCCCCAGGGTCTTCCAACAAGTGTTGTAGTCTTTGATTAAGGGCGGGGATCTGTGAACATTTTAATAAGGGGCTTAAGAGTAAATTGATAGGCCTTGCAGGCATGTGATCGCCATCCCAGCCATCAACTTAGCTATTGAGCTTGGAGCCAGCCATGGAGTAAGCATAATTGAATAGATGTGGCTCTGTCTTGGCTGGACTTCATTTAAGGGCCCTGAAATCTGAATTCCCTATGGCTTTCACATATCATAGAGAGTTCTCCTTTGTATCTACCCCCATGCCCACAACCATTGAAAAACATGAAGTCCGTTTTTAGCTTTTGAGAGTCATATAAAAGTAGATTTGGCCTTCAGGTCACAGTTGAGGGGCAGCTGGCCTAGACTGGAACCCAGTATGCTTTCCTTCTTATTCTTCCACTTGCCAGTGGTTTATGGATCCTTCTGTAACACTAGAGGGCAGCTGAGTCATGTCTTCTAGAGTGTTCTTTAAGACCTTATTGTCTGAAACACATCAGGATTATTTTTTAATCACTTGTTGATTGCTTTTATTAGCTCATCATAAAGATAGGCAGGAGCCAAGGAACTAAACTTTCCTAATACTTTATGGGCCACAGTCAGCTGGAAGCCACACAGCTGTGTCCTAGAACAGAACATCTCTGTCCAGCACAAAGCCCAGCCTAAAGTGAGTGCTCAACAAATACACAGGACTGTTGCCACTCGTGAACCCACTGGACTGAGCCCACTGCCTCACCGGTGTAGATGGGCTGTGTCTGAGTGTTTTTATCTACTCTCTTGGAAGAGAGAGGAAATTCAGTTTCAAATCTCAATTGAAAAACCAATTTCTCAATGTTGAGGGTTTTGTATATGGTGGACAAAGTCTTTGCATCTAGACAAGTTTATATTTAGTCTGTGTTCTTCAGTGCACTTAGGTCATAATTCTCAAAAGAGATTCTGGCAAATGTCTGGCAGGGTCTTGGACAGGGATGTGCACAAAGGCACACACCTGGAGCAGAGCTATTTGGAGATGTGGGGAGTTGGGATCATGAACTGCTGCTGGGGAAATATATTGTAGACTTTTCATAAAGTGAGCTCCACAAACGTATTTAAAGTGCTGCTCAGCTCCCGCAGATGTCCATAGAGACAATTGTGCAGGGCAGAGAAAGAGCTGGACAGGGCAGGTTTCTGGATCCCTCTGGGTTTTGATGTCCTTGTCTACAAGATGCACAATTAGCCTCTTATAGACATGCTCTTTTTTCCTTCAACTTTGAGGATTTTGTTTATTTGTTTGCTTCAGAGGAAATGTTTTGAATGTAGCAAATTAATGTCAAAGTATTGGTTTTAGGAGAGTGCTGTCTGAGTCCCCTATAGCCTCTTGTTAGCACCAAGCTTTTTCCTCAGGGGTGCACAGGGCTGTGGAGGTGCTGGCTGACAGACCTCAGTTAGAAGTACTCAATCCCCTGACAGCGCCTCTCAGTCAAAGCACCTGGGAAATTCTTCTTTGCCCAAGCAGCCACGCTTGCCTTTCCCACAGTCTATGCTCTGAGGCACTCCAACATTTTCCGAGAGTTAGCAAAACCAAAAACCCTTATGCTTTCCTTTAACTTGAGGCATACATGGGCAGTTAAGCCTTTAAAATAAGAGAACAAAAAAAAAAAAAAAAAAAGGAAAAAAAAAAAAAAGAAGAAGAAGCCGGGCAGTGGTGGCGCACGCCTTTAATCCCAGCACTCGGGAGGCAGAGCCAGGAGGATCTCTGTGAGTTCAAGGCCAGCCTGGGCTACAGAGTGAGTTCCAGGACAGGCACCAAAACTACATAAAGAAACCCTGGCTTGAAAAACCAAATAAATAAACAAACAAACAAACAAATAAATAAAATAAGAGAAAACTGAAGTGAAATAGGAAATTGTCTTGGGTGCCAGGTGGCTCTCTATGATGAGACTGACATAAATACTTTAAAAATTAATCTAAATTGAAGTGCTTTCTTTCATGCTGGTTATCTTCATTGTTGATGAAGAACATGCAGACAGATACGCAGCCCTGAGCAGATAATGTCTTCCATGTGGGTATTTGGGGAAACAGCCCAGAAGTTGTGATCCCCCCCCCCGACCCCATGTGTATGATAAGCTTTGAGGACTCAGCTCTGCAGCAGGTGTGTGGGGAGAAAGACTGGCCCGAGAGCTTAAGTTTCTTCTCATCTGGCAAAGAGAGGAGATGCTCCAGTTGGCTGTGCCTAGCTCCTGCCTCCCCTCAGTCCTCCTCAGCTGTCCTTCTGGGTGACAGTGACTTGAGAAGATGCGAGTCTGCAAAGCACCTACCTCCCAAGAAATTCAAAGGCGTCTTCATTTCTTAAATGAGACGTTCCTGCGGCAGCTGTCACATAGCCTGCCTCCGATGCTGCTGAGGCCTCAGGAGGGCAGGTGGGGCAGATGGCCTGGTCAGCAGACTTGGCCAGTCTCAAGAGTAAGGTGTCTAATGAGAGCCCTGCCCTAGGTCACTCGCTCCTCTGCCATGTACACACCCTGCTCCAGCAGAGGCTAGAAATGGCTGTCCCAGGTGTCGATCCAAGGCCGAAGCTCTGTCTGCCACACCAGGCAGCCTGTTTCATCCCCCTGCATGTGGGTTTTTAAATAAGTTTGGTGGTGTAGTTGCTTTGGAAGAATTACCCTCTGCCTTCCTGCTGAAATTAGTTTATCCAACTTAATTAGATCAACAATTGGAGCCATGGCCCTGGCTCATTCATTCCTCTAATTGCCGATGTGCAGATGGATAGGGGTTCTATTAAACACATCGGTTTTCATGTGGCCGAACAGGTGTTTCATAGGGGAGTTAATGCCCTCTCCCTAGACTTCAGCAACAGATGTTAGGTTTTTTTTTTTTCTTCTTCTTCTTCTAATGTTCCCTTTTCCTGTTTGGCTTCTGCACGAGGCAAACATTGTGAAATGCATGAGCCTCTTTTTGTAAAGCTAAAACCTGGAAGCAGATAATGTGCAAAAAAGGCACAGGGCTTAAAAACCCTAAGGGTTTGCACCTGCCAGGAAGAGCGATTGGCCTGTCTGGATTATTGACTGGCTGAAGAGTCAGGGTGCTCCTGCAGAGCAGGGCCTGGAGTCATTTACTCTGTTACCTGATTGCTAACATTTCCTTCCTCAAGGAGGAGTTTGTCCCACTGAACACTGACCTGTGCTGCTGGAAAGTTCCATCCAGCTGTGACCCATCACACGCCTCTGTGCAAGCAGCTGACTCCCAAACCATCCCTGACAAGAAGGCCATGCCTGAGTGAGCAATCAGCTGCTTCTCTGGCTTTTTGAACACCTGTCAGGTCACAGAGTTGGGGTGGAGAAGACTGCAGTTGAAGCCAGGTTCTTTTAGTGGATGCAGCTGAGAGAGAAACCCATTCCCAAAGCATCCCAAACACATGGCAGCTGGTACCCTCAGAAACATAGTCTTGTTTCCATGTTTATTTAGTAGTACTGTGTTCACAGGCTGCGGATAATCCAAATCTGAGGTGGGCCAGGCATCCTTGGGTAGATAGATGGGATGATTACCTTTAAATAGATGGTAGTTATTTTAGATATAGTTATTTATTTTGAGAGCAGGTCTCACTGTTTAGCTGACTGGCCTGGAACTCTCAGTGTAGACCAGGCTGACCTTGAACTACAGAGGTCCATCTGCCTCCCAGGTGCTGGATCAAAGACATGTGCCATCATGCCCAGCTAGTGTTTTGTTTTTGTTTTCTTGGTTTTTTTTTTTCAAGAGTTTATAGAGTCACATATAACAGGCTTGACTCTTTAATTAAGACTTCCACCCAATTTTAAAAGCAGTTAGGGCTAACACCCGGGGTGGAGCAGCCATGAGGATCCAGGAAAACCCTAGCTCTACCCTCTACTGAGCCTTCCCCTGGAAGATGCTCGTCAGGACAGGGTCCTGGGATGGAGCCAGATCTCAGCTCATTTCCCTGCCTGGGACCAGGACCTGCTGTTTGGCCTGAAGCCTCCATGAGTCTTCTTTTGTGTGTGCAGGCATGCTTGTGTGCCTGTGTATGTTGGAAATATGTAATGAATGTCTGCTGGCTGCTGCTGTCTCTGACTTCCGTTAAGTAAATGTTTAATTCAATGTATAGAATGTTCTCTCTAATGTGACCCTCTCTCTTTGTTAGATTCTCCTATTAACCCACGCCTATGAGCCCATCTTGTTTCTTACAGATGAATGATGCTATGGGATTTGAATTGCCCTGGGTGTATTTTGTGAGTCTCGTCATCTTTGGGTCATTTTTCGTACTAAATCTTGTACTTGGTGTATTGAGCGGGTAAGCTACATCTCTTTCATCTTGAAAGCAGAGTCCTGAGGACAGTTGCCAAGACCACACAGGCTTTGCTAGAGGGGCCAGTGGGTGGGTACTCTCCTTTTGTATTGCTCTCTCTTCTGCTGAGGTTTCCCAAACCAAGCTATTTCCTGGAACTTCACTAGCTGTCATGAAAGAGAGCCATGGAGAGATTATTGACCAGGAATGAATTAATCAGTATTGTTTCTTGGGATTTAAATAATTTCCCTTGCTTGACCTTCTGTCTGTCCTAAAATGAGATGCATTTATAATTGCTTTCTTGATCTGGATCCAAATATAATGCCTATTAATTGGCACAAAACTGTAGCCAGATGAGTCGTCTAGGCTGACTTTGGAGAGTCCCTTCCTGAAGACTTCAGCCTTAGGGCTTGCCCTACCCTGGGGAAGACAATGCAAGGACCCCCACTCCTTCAAGCCCTTCCCTTAGGACACTAACCTTCAACCAAAGCCCTGAGTGGTCCTGCAGCTGCAACCGGGGCTCTGTTCTTTAGTAAATGGATTACTGATAACTGATCTCCTTACATTTTACAGGTAAATGATGCAATAGGATGGGAATGGCCATGGGTGTATTTTGTTAGTCTGATCATCCTTGGCTCATTTTTCGTCCTTAACCTGGTTCTTGGTGTCCTTAGTGGGTAAGCAGTTGGATCCCTGCTGTGCACTCTCCCGCTGCCACGTGGGAGGCAGCCCTGTGTCTCCCAGCTGCTCCCTGGTGGCTTCTCTGCATGCCTTTGGACTCTGATGTCCCCTCTGTGTGTTGCTTTTGGATTGAACTGTGATTCTTTCTGCCTGTATCTGTCTGTGAGATTCTGTGTTTCTGACGCTTGCCGAGCACTGTTAACTTAATGAAAATCTTTCCCTTAGAGGGGAATTCCAAGCAAGTAAAAGGCTTCCTAGCCTTGGTCTCCCCCAGAGAGGGACTTTGATCTCTCGTGGGTTTCATTACATTAGTACATGACCTGGCCCTCTTCAGTCACGCTCAGCATATTATAAATAGTGGTGTTTCAGAGTCTCTGGTAAAGACTAGGTTAGTACATAAGTACCCAGCAGTTTCAAGCCCTGCCTTCCTGAGGTTGGGACCCTTGAGTAGCTTGACTGGTCACTGCTGTCACTACATGAGTTGTGCCTCTGATTCAGCTTTCATGTTTTCTTAATACAGAATGATGTTCATCTGTTACACACATGTTCCCTGTGGCTTTATTGGCCCCATCCTTCGGTCGCCATGTTAAAAGTTCATCTTGTTTAATGCTTGCCTTTGTGCTTACCCTCCGTTTATTAGGTTGAGGGGAGATGGGCTTGAGAAGAGCCTTGGGCCGTGGGGCTGAGCCCTACTGTGGTGGGAGATGGTATTCCAAAGGCCCCATGAGTAGATGTGAATCTCGACATCTCTGAGGTACCCCAGGCAGTGGAGTACCCCCATCAAAGTGGGCTGGGGGCTCTCTCAAAAGCAGTTCCCCAAATGGGAGATTGATTTTTGGCCTGAAAAATGCTATGGGTTTCTCATCATTAGAGTCTTACTTATTAAATTCTATTTGTGTTATTGCATTATAGTTAAGATAAAATATCTAATTAAGAATTGTACTCAGTTTTAAGCGAGGTTACTAAAAATGCTTTGTCTTAAGAATTAGACATCTAATGTTTACAGTCTGTACAATTTGAAATTTTAAGGAATAATAAAATAGCCAACTTTTAACTCAAAACAAAACAACTATACACACAGTCACTTCCAGCACACAGCCCAATTGCCCTGAGCAGCCCAGAAGGTACCCATGCCCCCTCCCTCTGGCCCTAGTCACTGCATTGAGCCCAGGAATTCTCAGGAAATCACACTGATCGACTTGGTCCCAAGTGAGTTTATCTTTCAGAGGCTATATCTCAGACATGATGCCGTCCTGTATGCTGAGTTAGTAAAGTCAGCTTTGTCTTGTTTCCTGGAGATAGAGAGCAGAAGGCAGAGCCCAGTTATCCATCTGGATTCCTTCCTTCACATTCCTCCAAACCTGCCTTGCCATGGATTGAGTGGGGTCAGTTCTGCACCATAGAACACTGTCACGCAAGTCCCTTATCTAGAAGTGGCTCAGGAGCAGTGTGTCTCCCCCTCTCCACCAGTGAGAGGAACAGGGCATGGGAACTGAACTGCAGGGACAGCACCCAGCACCCACCTCAGCTCCCTTCTACAGACTGTAAACTTTAAAAGGCCTTCCTCCCTGGCTTGATCATGCATTTTCGTTTTCTTTTTCTTTCTTTCTTTCGTTTGTGACACAGGGTCTTAGTTCTGTAGCCCATGCTAGTGTAGAATTCACTATACAGCCCAGACAGGCCTTGGACTCCAAATGATCCTTCTGAGTGCTGGGATTAAAAAGCATGAGCCTCCATGCCCAGCTGCAAGACCATCCTCCTCTTGAGCTTCTGTGGCCTGAAGTTGGGGTCAGCATGGTGAGCGTGGCAGTTATAGCTGGAGGAACGTTGCCACAGGAACTACCCAAACAAGGCCAGCAGCTGCAACTGTGTTGTGAGTTCCTTGGCGCCCCATGTCTCCTGAACCCAACTAAACTGACGGAGGCCATGGAAACCACTAATTTTAACAGTGCCAGTGACGTGCCTTATCTTTAGTTCCCCCTCTCTGAGCAGGAACTGTTGCCCCGGCACGATGAAGCAGAGATACAAGTCAGCCAAATCGTGAGGTGTTTAAAAAAGCTAAAAACAGAAGATGGAGGCAGGGACATCCCATTATAATGACAGGGGTTCAGCGTGAAGCCTTGTAGGAGGGACCCAAAGCTAGAGGGTTAAAAACAGCACACGTCCTCACCAGACAGTTTACTGAAATGTACCTTGAAGAAAAAGAACAAGGTTTTGAAAGGCATTATTTTTATATTAAAAGAAAACTATGAAGGAGAAAGCAGATGATGCTTTGATGTCAAAAGCAAACCTAAGATGTCCTGGTGATTTTAGCTGTCAGCCCATGATCTACTCAGACTCCTAGGGGGTGCACACTCCCTTTCCTCCCCTCTAACCCTCCAAGCCACTTGGGTAAGAAATGCTGAGCCAGGCTCTGAGTGGAGTCAGAGCTGGATCTGCAGAGCTCTTTGGCTAGCATCCTTCCAGTTCCTGATGATGGCCTGGCTCTGGGCCCGAGGCCTGGGGTGCCAAGGTGTCTGAGTTACAGACTCCAGCCTTGGGCTCAGACTGCAGCTCAAGTTGTACAGCAAGTGCTGTCGCTGGGAGAGCTGGAGGCCCTCAGGTGGAGAGTGCCTGGGCCCTCAGGCCTCTCCACCTCACCACCTCACCACCTTCAAGGGTTCCCTGCACTAATCTGCCTGCCTCTGCCCTCTTGTTTATCTGTTTGCTTTTTTTTTTTTTGCTATTGTTTAAGCAAATTTAGAATTGTTACTTTAATTGTAGAGGTGTTATACAGCCAGAAGGACACAAAATGTCAGAAGACATTTCTGTGGCACAGCCCTTAAGGGACTTTCAGACTAACATGTGATCTTAAAAGCACTGGGTTCCAAGCATCCCATCCTAGGTCAGTCAAGACCTCATGCATTATGACATCATAATATGGACTCACTAGGTGACAGTGACACCAGATGTGCCTGACACTGAGCCCTTTGTTTTGTTTTGTTTGCGTGTGTGTGTGCGTGCGTGCGTGCATGCGTGTGTGTTTGAGACAGCGTCTCATTGTTCAGTACATCCTTATCTCAGATTGGTGGCTAGCCTCCTGCCTCGGCCTTCAGAGTGCTGGGATGGTAAGCATACACCACGGTGCCTGGTTGTTAACCCTTTATAAACAATGACTTGTGTGTTTGTGGCTCCTTCCTTTGCAAATAGCCAGGGCGTCCTGTTGCATCTTCTACACAGTTGATTCGGTGTTTGCACGTTTTTAAGGCATTCAAAGGCTGAGTCTCTGAAAATGCTGTTTGCTTTGTTTTGTTTCCTTCTCAAGGTGAGACCGAAGCTCATGAACTGCATGCTCTGTGAGCATGGGTGCGGATGACACCGTCTCTGTTGATGCTGCTCTGTGGGAAGAGTTGGAATGGCCTGGAGCTAGTACTGTGGCTTGCTATTTGGTTGTCCTTGAAAGAGTGATCCTTTGATGGGCAGAGAACTGAAAAGACTACCCCGTTAGGTCTGAAGTCCGGGTAGTGGGTGTGTCTTAGCTTCTCACTCTGGCTTGTTAGCAACATGGACTCCTCAGTTTTAAGCTATTCCCTTAAATCCTGGCACTCTCAAGGTTTGTCTCAGTGTATATGGCACCCCAGTGCCTGGTTTCGTAGAGTTGCCATGAAATTCTCCAGGGCACAGTGGTACCCCTGGGTGGTAGCCTGCTTCTCTACTGCAGGTCCCACCTGCCATACCTATGGTGCTGAGGTCTGAGTGGTCAAGGGAGACTTCTTAGGCTCCTGAACTCCCAAGGAAGGCCAGACCTGGCCCTCCCAGTATCCCATGGTCAGGATGGGTTTCAGTCACTCTGATCTTTAGTCTCCTCTTCCTAATATAGAAAGAATCCTGTCTTGCTCCCTGTCTCCCAGAGTAGCTTGAAATCAGCTAATGAATGGAGAACCATGTGAAGAAGGCTCTTAAGGCTTTTATTCATCTTTATCTTCAACTCACAGATCTCCTTCCACTTCCTCCACCCCCATCCCTGGGAAAGTGGGGATAGCCCAGGGGGCTCTGTGGAAGTTCTTAAGAGGAGAATTTTTGCATTTTTCCAGGAAGTAACTTAAGAGGCTATTTGTGTCACACACACACACACACACACACACACACACACACACACACACACACACACCATATTCCTTGCCAGCAGGAGATGACCATGGGGCATAGGATTTCTTTGTCAGATATAAACTATTTTGTGTGCAGACTAAAGTCACCGTTATTGGCAGTCTATGTGGTGAAGACTCCTTTCCTTTGCATCAGAGGCAGGGATGACATTCCAAAAGGCAGTTCTCAAGCATGCCAGC